TGGACACATCTGCTGAAGACAACTTCTTGCGATGTCATCATCAAGAGCTTTCTTCTTTCGCTCTTCGTACTTTCGCCTGATGTTTTCCCAGGCTTCTATGCTCTCTCTGAGCTTGTCCAATGCACACTGTTGTGGGTGCAGGACCTTCTTCAGCAAAGCTGAGTTTGCTTGTGGGTTCTGTGGATCATACTTAGTGATCAATCGTCTCAATGCCTCTAGGCCAAAGTGCTGACCTCTGGAGGTATTCTTGACAATCTCGAGGGCTTCTCCCTCACATAGTGAGATCAGAGCCTGTCGGGCCTGAGCTGAAACAAGCTCGGCTCCTTCAGGATAATCATCTTCCAGAGATGTCTCATTGATCTCTGTGTCTTGATGCCCTTCGAGGAGCTGAATGCACTTTCCTGCATTCGTGTGACTTGTCTCAATCCAAGTCTTGAACTTGAAGTACCATGAGTCCCAGGTACCTGTGTGTCCACTGAACTTGTCAGGCTTTGGACGCCTTTCAATTCTGATCTGTCTCTTACTTCTACGCTGGTGGCTATGTTCTTTGTGATCGCCGTTTGTTGTGTGTATGCTTCTGCCATTGCTCGTTGCAATTGGCTCTGCCCCTGTGCTAGGGCTTGCATCATCTGTGCAAATTGCTGCGCCATGTCTGTGGCTTGTTGTGCCTGTGCTCCTGGCTGTTGCGCCATGTTGACTTGCTAGCCAGGGATTGAAGCAATCAGGCTTTCCTGCAAGCGATGCTTGTTTTGCTGATCTCCGGCGCCTGAACCGATGCGGCTCGGCAACCTTCGATTCGCAGACGGTAGCCGGGTCTTAGAACCGCGGCTCCGCTACCATGAACGGAGAATTTAGGCTCGTAAACTCAGTGACGTAGGGTCACAGTCCCAAAGGTTGTAGTTAAAGCTTAGACACACTTTTAGCTCACGCCTGAATGATCAGGTAGGTTAAATGAACACAAAACGGCTGCAGTGAAACATACATCTATACAAGCTATGTCATGTACATGTCACTGGAGCTACATCTGATCAAACATGTAATTATTTATATCACAAATGTGTGAAAACAAAAAGCTCGGTAGTGACCCGGTAGTACAAACATCATCCACATTGTAAGTGCAGCGCGGTGGAAGAACCAAATCCTGAGCACGAATTGCTGTGAGATCAGGAGTGCGTTGCGCATTTTGACAAGGCCGAACGTGTTGACTCACAAGGAAAGCAAGCCTGCTGCTTCCCCATGGCCACTCTGTGGTCGCCCTGACATTGAATCAGAAAAGTTCAGGGGAGCAGGTCCTTTTGCCATTGTCCGTGATTTTACTGTCTGAAATTGTCGAGGAACTTGATCTCAGGCCTGCCGCATGGCCGCGAAGCCGGGCACGCCTCAGAAACGGATTGCTCTTTTAAGCAAGTCATAGCTATATAAATGTTACGTACAATACGTAAATGCAGTGACTTGGAAAAGTATTTACTGTCAAGAAATGATGCACTAGAATGTAAGCAGCAAAGCGACGTCTGATCTTTTGCCCTTGACATCTGGCCAGCTGCGATATCAAAGCTATCCAGCCTTGCTATGTATCACTACAGATTTGTGGCTCATTATGCAAAGGCCCGCTGAAGGCATGCATTAGCCAACGTGGACCCCTTGCACGTAAGTCAAGAAAATCTCATATATCTCCTGCCAGCCAGTCTTGACTCTACAATATATGAAGTTTACCCGTCACTGCCTTGCATGCAAACTACGCCACCTGGAAGGCCTACAGCCGGCCTGCACTCGGCGTTCTCGATCATTGCCTTGCTGTTCTTTGCACACACTCGACGTGTGGCACACTGCACTGAATGCTGGGAGACAAAGCCTTTGGAGTACAGTATGATGAAGTATATTAGCTATATAATCATCCAACGAGCGTCTTGACATTCTCCGTAATCGACCTTCTTTGGCATCCATCAGCTGATCTTTCGAAGGTGGGTAGCGGATGGTAGCCTTTGGCACTGGATCGCCAGATGGCCTAAGTGGGATTCAATTGGTCAGGATTGGTCAGGCCCTATCTCAGTCTGCTCATCCCTTAGGGGTCAAATTTTATGTTAGGCCCTGAGTCTAATACACAGAACTCATGTCTCGCACATTCAGCATGGCTGTAGTGCTAAGCATGGGCAACGTCAAGGAAAAACAAAATCCAGTACATGTTGGTTTCATAATATTGATAAGGTTATATAATAAAATATTGCTGACCCAGACTCTCATATCGGAAACCTCAGGCTGTTCGACAGAAACACAAACTGCATGCCACATGTCGTAGCTCTCAATCAATTCTACTCGCCATCACCACGAATAACACATAAAACAAAAAACATACTGTGTGCAACCAATGTGCAATACACCATGTCACTTTGCGCGCGTTGAGACCGATAAATTTCACCATCCTCAGGCCGCCTCACCCACCCATGCAGAATAACATTCACAAATGCGCAAGGGAGTATGCCCAATGTTTTTGGTGTTCGTTGGGACTATATACAGCTTCATAGATGTGGAAACGATCCGAAAGTTTGAACAATGCTCAGCAGAAAAAAACACCGCACATCAGCTGTAAACTACGATCAAACAAATCATGCAACACTGGAATCACAATCCGCCGTGTGAAATTGAAGTTTGTTTGTGTATTAAAAATTTCCCTGACTGAAAATCCAAATGATGAGCCTTGCTTTGTCACGCCGGTCACCATATGATCGTCCATAATTTCGAAGCCTGAGGCGAATGAAACTCACAACCATTCACAACCTGGTTTTGGAGAGTATACCTTCAATCAACCTACCTGACACTGGCCTCAAGTCACGGCGCGAACTGTGTATTTCTAGAAGTACATACGCCGCAAGCTGGAGTGACCAAACACCAAAGAACGACCGCACTTTTGCAACATGATGAGGAGTGGAACATACACATTGGCAACAATGGCTTCATACTCGTCAACAACGACTCCATGCTTTGGGTCCTCAAAAACCAGATCTTGAGAAGCTGAACTGAATGACAACCGTTTTTTGACCTCGAGTCAATCCCTTAGACCTTCTTCAGCTCCGAATGGTGGCGGCAAATCACCCACTCCAATCTCATCAATCATCCAACGCACATGCACTAAGCACCTTTCGCGTACAACTCAGTGGGAACATCCTCGCCAGACTGTGTGCCACAGGGTGGTGGCCATGCTGTAACTCGTTGAGGAGCAGCAACAGGGCCGTCGCTCTGATGACATACTCATTCATATGGACTTGTGCACATTGAGACTTTAGTTGCAAACAGTCAAGCATTGGCTGTCTGAGGACCTATGAAGAGAACACACTGGGCCCACTTCCTTTGGCTGAGGCTGAGGCAGGATTGGACTGCACCATTTGCGGGCAGCGTTTATCATCAATATACTTTTTGTCGACATGAACTTCATGCACGCGGCGAAGCAATTCCCAAGGATCCCACAATGAGCACATCTACAAACGCCAAGACGCCAAGGGTGGCCGACCCACATGTAGACATCGTGGTTCCTTCTTCATCACGTGAAAAATCATTGCGCATCGCATCTCCACACTCAGCTGTCCAGCCTATCAAACGACCAAGGCTACTCCTGCAGCACTTGGCACAGCACGCCGGCGTCTACTGGACATCTTCGACTCTGGGGACTTGCAGCTCTTGAAAGATTATCAAGGACATTTCTGCACCTTCCTCACACATCGTTAATCGTTGTGTCCTTAGCAGGCTTTGGGGCTAACTTTACAGCCTTGGTCATAGACCGTCATGCATCAGGAAACTTTGAAGATCACACATGCCCATGCTGCAGGGAACGGCAACAAACCCAGGCGTGCCAACAAGCACGGTTTGGTCACTGGCTGGGTATGTTGGCATTGACCTTTCTAGGTGCGCAAAGGGGACCCTACTGCAATGGTCAGAATGGTCTACGCCACGATCTTCACGGAAGGGCGTATAAAAAAAAATGACGATGACGATGACGATGATGATGATAAGGACCATTAGCTCTCAGGCCCTGTACCATGGCCCTTGGGAGGGGCTAGTGCGGAAGCCTCTTTGCTCAGTGTAGCAGGTAAGCGTGACTGGGCGTAATGTGGTGTTTCCGGGTTGGGCTGCAATCGGTGCGCTGCACTCGGCGCGCTGCGGTGCACTCGGTACGATGCACTCGGTGCGCTGCACTCGGTGCGCTGCGTTGCACTCGGCGCGCTGCGCTCGGTGCGCTGCGTTGCACTCGGCGCGCTGCACTCGGCGCGCTGCGCTCGATGCGCCGCGCTGCACTCGGTGTGCTGAACTGGGTGCACTGCACTGCGTGCGCTGCGATGCACTCGGTGCGCTGAAGTCGGTGCGTTACACTCGGCGCGTTGCAGTCAGCGTGCTGCATTCGGCGCGCTGTGATGCACTCGGCGCGCTGCACGCGGTGCACTGCGCTGTACGCTCGGCGGGCGGTAGTGGTAGTAGTAGTAGTAGTAGTAGTGGTAGTAGTAGTAGTAGTAGTAAAAGTAGTAGTAGTAGTAGTAGTAGTAGTAGTAGTAGCAGTACTAGTACTAGTACTAGTAGTAGTAGTAGTTGTAGTAGTAGTAGTAGTGGTAGTAGTAGTAGTGGTGGTAGTAGTAGTAGTAACCATAGTAGTAGTCCAGTAGTAGTAGTAGTCGTCGTCGTCGTCGTCCTCGTAGTAGTGGTACTTGGATGATCTGGGGTTTGCTAGTGGTTTATGCTGTTTATCAATAGTTTGTCAGTAGCTACCTAGATAGTTTTT